AGCTTTGGCGAAGAAGACGTCTGGCGTGGTTTTTGACGAAACGTACGCATTCTGTGGATTTTGGTTGCGCGTTGCGGTCGCTTGACGCATGCGACTCTTTAACTCCTTATACACAATACATCCTCTATAGTTTGCCGTATGGCTGCCTCCGCAGTTTCCACATTTCTTCACGGTACTGTTCGTTTGTTCTGTAATGAAACTTTATTTTCGGAATTAGATCCCATCTACTAGCATGTGAAGAAAAAAATATTGCCTTCCATAAATTTTAAATCAATTTAAATTTACTCCCTATTGACTCCTGCGAGCCATGGAACTATCCGTCAGTCGCAAGAAATCCTCCTGGTATACAAGGCACTATTAATTTTAAAAAACATTAAAATTAAATTTTTAAATAAACATATCAAAACCAGCTGTACAATTAGTAACTCAAGATACTTAGTAGCTCGGTCTTACTTCACCATGAATAACTCGGAATGTTATAAAAGTTGTATTCGCAGCTGCTGGATTCAGTTTACTCAGGATCCGAAGCAGTTTTATAACTTTGTAAATACTAAGCGTAAACATGTAACTTTTCCACTTCTGCTTACGTTTGCGACCTTACGTTGCGAATTCATCTGCGACCTCCATTCAGGCTATTTTTGATATATTCTCAAAATTTTGTTGAACAACATACTCTCCACTTAAAATTACAGATCAGCCGTACGCATACAACATTCAATCAGATAATCTTATTTTCTGTTCGTTTTTCTGTTCTCTGTCCGAGAATAGCTTATAATCTGATATTCTCAGGGTCAAACCCATTTATTCGCCAGGCAGCGATGTCTTCATCTGTGTGCTGTATTCTAAAATACTGTGGCAGAGCTCTGTGCAAACCTCTTCATAGACTTTTTAACTTATCTTTGGAAACCATTTTCGATTTTCGAAACGATTTTCCCCTTAAGTGGAAGGAATCTTTCATAATTTCATTACATAAACAAGAAAGTAAAGCTAACTTCGGGCGGAGCCGAAGTTTATATACCCTTGCAGTTAAAACCGGATATATATCGCAAACATCGGATATAGTTGGCCGATCCTTATGGGAATAGGAATATATAATCCAAATTATTACAATACAAAATCTAAAAAAAGTCCAAACTTCTATCTTAAAAAATACGAAAGTTGATATTTTTACCAAATACCATTTCCGATCGTTCAGTTATATGGCAGCTATAAGATATAGTCGGCCGATCGTTATGAAATTTGGTAGGTCGGATCAACTGACCAAAAATATAATCTGTACCAAGTTCCAGGTTTCTATCTTTAAAATCACGAAAGTTGGGTCATTTCCGATCGTTCAGTTATATGGCAGCTATAGGATATAGTCGGCCGATCCGGGCCATTCCGACTTATATACTGCGTGCAAAGGAAAGAAGGGTGCGTGCAAAGGAAAGAAGGGTGTGTGCAAAGTTTCAAGACGATAGCTTTAAAACTGAGAGACTAGTTTGCGTAGAAACAGACAGACGGACAGACGGACATGCTCATATCAACTCAGGAGGTGATCCTGATCAAGAACATATATACTTTATAGGGTCGGAGATGTCTCCTTCACTGCGTTGCACACTTTTGACCAAAATTATAATACCCTCTGCAAGGGTATAAAAAGGGGAAAAGTCGGTTGCTGCCGGATGACATCCTTTGTCACTTTTGAAAGGGATTTCAAACTTATGCTATTTACACAGACTGTAACAAAGCATTTGATTAAGTCAATCACTCGTTCTTGTTGAGTAAACTGAATATGCTGGTATTTCCTACAGACCTCATAACGTGAATCTCCAGCTACATAGATGGCAGAACACACATAGTCTTATTTGATATATACATTCTCGCTTGGTCCGTGCTAAACTTGGAGTCTCACAAGAAAGTCATCTTGGCCCGTTACTGTTTAGTCTCTTTATTAATAACTTGCCCCTGTTTTGACCCTGTTTTGATAAATTCCCTAATACTTATGTATGCAGATGATAATAAGCTTTGTCTTCAATACAAATTCGCTTCTGCCCAATGCAAACATCAGTTCGATCTCAAAACATTTTCAAAAATAGTGTGAGGAGATTAAGTCTTTCCCACACGCCAAGACACGTGACCTGGTGCAAAGTCAAGAAAGAGTAGTTGAGGGAATGCGAAAGCTGTAAGACACCGGTCAAGCGCAGGATGTATTACAATGGTAGGCACGGGCGGATGGGGGTAAAGCAAAACCAACGGGAGTGTGGAAAGCTGGATTAAAAGCAGAAGCAGAATATAGAAGAATTAACGTATATAAGGAGGCACATTAGAATTAATCATAAAGATTTTTTATTAGAAAGCTTAGAGGACCGCCTTTGGAGAGTCCGACATTCAAGTGTTAGAGCGTTTCTAAATGTAGCTGGTAGTTTGAGCTAAAGGACGCCCGCTGAAGTGTCCAACGACCCAAGAGGAGTAGAGAGTACAAGTGAAAAAAGGACCAGTATCCTGACTAAGACAGGTAACTTTGCCACGAAGCGAGTAAACGGGCAAGTCTGGCGGCCTTACTGACTCCTGAATCGCGATGAACAGGCGTGATCCTGCGAGACAAGGTTAGGCCGACTTGTGAACTCGAGCCCAGCCAAGAAACCGATCGGGGACACCCCGGTCACCAGCCAAGAGACTCCTGATCTCTTGACTAGCACTCCTCTTGACTAGCGGTAACTCCCTGGTGTAGCGGAGGCGCGACGTCTAGTCGTTGCTGGCTATACGCGCAATACGCGCGGACGAAAGCCCTCGTGCCCATATCGGATATACATAATTGATCGATCCGTATAGGAATTTAAGTATCAGATCAATGTAAATTGATTGATAGTATCGAGCAGGGGTGCTCAACGCCTATACACTGAGTGCACTTTTGTTTTTGTAGATGCTCTGTGCTTATGGCTGGTGCGCCCATAAGCACCGTGCATATGGGCTTCGATTACCATGCGAAACAAAAACAATTTTGCTTGTTTCTTCATTACATCTCTATCCGTCGTCACGCTTCGCTGAACGCAGTGTATTTTGTTTTTGTTTTTTCCTCGAGCACATGCACTGGAACTTATTCTTCTGTCTGCTTTGGCTTTTGATTTATTTCGTGGGACTAAATAATAATAATCTGGAAGCTCAATTAAAATTTTAAACCACTAAAATTAATATAAATATTGAATCTTTTTTAAGCCAAATATAAAAAAAAAAAAAATAAATAAATATTTAAAACTGCTTTTTTTTCTCTCAGTGCACAGTTGCGCCCCAACTCTAAAGCGCCGCTACATATGTACACGTTTCCTTGTGTCTGTGTTAGTAAACGCACTGCCATAAGACGAATTTGAGCACCCCTGGTATCGAGTATCGATTCAATTAGAATTGGATAAAATGACTTAAATCAGCATGCATGAAATTCCAAACCTTTTAAAAGATTATGGAGAAGATGATTTTTAACATGGAGAAGCATTCCATTCGAAATTAATGAAAAAAAAAATACATAAAATTTGTCCTTCTTTCAAATAAGACAAGAAAGGACAAATGTCATCAATGTTCCCCCATTCAAATCCCCCATCAACAAATGTTCCCCCATCTGTAAAAAATTCTTTTGACAAAATAATAGGAAAAAACTTTAAAGCCTTCGCTGATCCAAATGAGGCTTAAGAAATTTTCTAAAGAAATATAAACAGAATATTGGAAATGGCTAGTGCACCAATCATTGCACCAGATAGCATTCCTGCATTCATCACAAAGCTTAGAGTCCAAGACGACCGAGGGCGCTCGGAAAATGAGTTATTAACTAAATAGAAAAGTCAGAATAATATCTAAGAAGGATTCCAGGCCTTTTAATGTCTACAGGAGGTATATTTCACTTACGAGGTTCTTCTGAGGGAAAGATCTCAAAGTCGAGTTCTTGACTCTCACCTATAAAAAAATTGTCAACCAATTCCACGTGAGATGGAGGAAGGTGGCTGCAGGCATTACCATTATGTTCTCTTTTGACGGCGACACTGCATATCCTAGACAAGGACTAGCAGATACGGCCTGGATGTAAATCTGAAAAAACAACTTTTTTGGAAGGGCAGAGAGTAAAGTTTAGCTACATAATTGTCGCGAACATCCAACTTCATAGTGGAAAGGTTATCGTCCTTCACCAGCTCCACATCGTTGGTTTCAACGGTAGGGCCGCAGGTACGCAATTTAGAGGTTTGCTGAATAAAGTTCAAGCACTCCTGCTTCCATCAGGCCCAGAAAAACTGCTGCAGAAAAATCCCGTGTTGCCATACCTGCCTTTCTATCTTCAAAAACACGAAGGTTGGGTCATTTCCGATTGTTCAGTTATATGGCAGGTATAGGATAAAGTCGGTCAATCCTAATGAAATTTAATATGTCGTATTTACTAAAAACAGCACTCATGGAAAATCTGAACTCTCTAACTCTAATACAATGGGGGAAATATTCTGATTTTTAAGTTTGGGCTGGCAAATGAGTCCAATGAGATAAAATGAAAGAGCTTCTGAAAAAATTTGAGATTGCTCACACTGTCCATTGACACGGCACCCTGCCGGCAGTGATGCAGTAGAATTTGCGACCCTGTGCTCACCCCTTCTAAAACCAGTGGTTTCAATAAACTGATTAATCGGAAATGGTATAACTTTGGTGTTTTTTACAGTAAGAGAGTACAAATTTTGAATGAGAGCTATTTTGGCAAAATTACTCGACCTACCAAATTTTATATCGTTCGGCCGACTATATGTTATAGCTGTTTCTTAAACCGCAAATGAACGATCGTAAATGGTTTTTGGTAGAAATACCAACCTTTGTATTTTTGAAGATAGAAGCTTGGGGCAAACATCCGATGTTTGCGATATATATCCGGGTTTAACTGCAAGGGCATATCAACTTCGGCTCCGAAAGAAGTTAGCTTTCCTTTCTTGTTTAAATTATTTCCATATTGCCCTTGCAAAAAAAAATTAACTGTTTTATTTATTTTAATTTTTATTGTATTTTATAAGAACGTATATAAATGGTAATTACAGCCAAGGATGCCAAGCTGGGTCCATTCGACACAGATTATCGATGTTTGTTGCAGATTGTATAAGCATAGATATTTTTTTATTTTCAATACTATCAAAATATGAAATTTTATTGAACCGTGCCATTATTATATCCACGGCAGAATTAACTACGTTTATAGTACGGTCCATAGAATTTCCTTCACTGTAGCGTTCTTCTATTCCATCTGCCAGTTTAGTTTCTCTTAATCCTTTTTTTTGCAAGGCTATAAATTCATCTCTTAAAATAGTTTGTAGTATGGAACAAAGCTTATAATTTGGTTGAATAAAACACCGCGCTGTAGCTACAATTGCTGCCGATAGGGGTCCAGATATTCCAATAGGTGTAATGAATTCATCAATATTTGGAGTTAGACGAAATGGAACAGGGCGACGTTGATTAAGCTGACCTTTATCATCATTTACATCAAACTTAAAATAGGAAACATTCATAAGTCCGGAATCCTGATGAAGGTAAATCATATCGGTGTTAAGGCGTGTTAAATTTAACGCATGCTCACAAAGATAAGCCAATGCCAATTGCAGCGTAAGCTGAAAAAAAAATCATGAGAGTAAGTAAGTATTACTTCTATTCGATTAAAAATATTAATAATAATAATAAGATTAGTTAACAGGTCTAATTACTGAATATAAAATATTTGGTGCATTTGGTAAACATTTTGTATATATAATATATTTTTGTACTAGCTGACCCGGCAAACGTTGTTTTGCCATTAGATGACTTTATAATTTCTGTACAAAATTTACTCAGTTCTAGACTTACGCATTATAAAGTCATCTGGAGTTGGTTAACTGTGAACCATGAGGGAATACAAAAATAAGAAAAGGCAAACATTATTTTTAAGTTATTATTTGATTGTAATTCAGCAAGTCAATCTCTTAGCGCTATAGCGGGACCAATATTTTTTGTGACGATAGCGTGATTATCGCTTTGTAATTGGTGCATATGTGCATATATTTTCAACAATTAATTGTGCTCGTTTAATAGAGCATCTAGCTCGCTGACGATACGTCTGGCATAAAATGAATCGAGGATATTATAATCACAACGTGCATTCACGCGATTGGCAAGTGCGCTTCCGGAATTCTCGCCGCCCATAAAGTAGATTTTTAAGAATTTATGTGGATCGCAGATAAACTTGGCCTCTGATTTTGAATGTAGAATTGTAATGTTGACCATTTGCATTTGTGTTTTGAACTATTTCTGTTGCTCCGAACGATGTCATTTGAAAGCATGAATTGAATGTTCGAATTGACTTCAGGAACACGTTAGAATCTGGATCCGTGCCGATAAGTAAGCCGTTCAATGGTTCAGGAGGTATTTCAATTTCTGATAGTTGCACTACATAGGTTTTTTTTGCTGGATTTGTTCTTCGGTTCTTTCGGATCTTCTATTTTGCATGTTTGGAGATCTACTTCTATCACGGTTCAAATCACTGAACCGTTTACTTGCCATTCCTTTGCGTTGTAGGGGGGCGTTGGTTCCGCAAAAGATTCCAGGAGTAGAAATGTTGAATAAAAAGTCGGGGGCGTCTTCCAGTGGATATAACGCGGTCAGCTTTATTGGGCTGCTTACATCGAATTAATTGCTTAAAAACTAGTGCAAAAAGTAATAGAAAAACTACGATCGACGACGGCCGGCGAAGGAGCGAGAGCGCAAAGAGGGGCGAGCGCGGATGCGCTCTTCAGCGCGGGTGCGCTCTTCAGTGCTGGTGCGCTCTTCAGCGCGGGTGCGCTCTTAAAGCTGCGGCACACCGGCCCCTCACGTAAACATCCTCCCCCCCTTGCAATCGCTCGGGTTGCAACATATCCCTCGTCGCTAGCTATGCGTCACTGCAGCTAGAGGGCGTGCACGGTCGATGAAGGCCCCCGTGTCGAAAATCCGGGTCCCGATGTTGACACTGTTCCGTCTCAGCAGCGACGATAGGGTGGGCGCAGCGAGCGCGTCCTGCGGGGGCCCTCGAGGAGAGGCGGAAAGTTGCCTAGGCGCGGATGACGCGGGCGGAAGAGCGGTGGACGGCACCCGATGAGTGGCGGACGAAAGCAGTGGAGCGCTTGACGACTGCCAGCCAGTGGCGGAAGAATGCCGAGGAGTTGCCGACGAGCGCCGGGAAGTCGATGGCCGTGGATCGGCTTGTGAGTGCCGGAAAATGGCGGACGCAGGGCGAGAAGCACCCGAACCGCGCCGGGAGTTGGCGGATGACGGCCGACGAGAGAGCGAGACACCAGGTGTACTGTCTCCCGTGGGCGGTGTACGGTGCTCCTTGGTCCCGGGGTGCAGCAGCGTGTGGTGATCCTGACCACACGTCTTACAGCCGTCCCCACGCCGACAGGATCCGTCGGAGTGCTCGTGGGCCAGGCAGCTCGAGCAATAGCGGTTCACGAGCACCACTCGGAGCCGCTCCTCGGCACTAAGGCGTAGGAAGCGCCGACACTTCTTCAACGGATGACTCCCATTGCAGACTCGGCATCGGTAGGATAGTGTACCTCGAGTACATCTGCTTTCCAGTGACGGGGCGTTGCGTGGGCGTGGCGACATCGTGCTGAATATGACCTTGGAATCTAGAATTAGACCCGGACCAGTCGGATCATCAGCTGATTGCCACCGTGCAGCGTGATGCGATGTGTAAATCGAAGAAGGAGTCGTAACAGAATTATGCTCGCATCCGGAATCGAAACCCTGAACCAGTGAGTCACCGAGGCTGCGGGCAACTCGTGCGGAAAAAACAGACACGCTGCGGGGGTTGGCTGGAGATAATGGGCCTGTCAGCACCCATCCGAAAATGGTCTCCTGACCGAGAAGCGACCCGCAGATATTAGCCTTGGAATTACCGAGGAGAATGGACGGAAGAATGTCAGCTCCTAATAACACATCGACTTGGGAGCTCTCAAAGAAGTTGGGGTCCGCCAGGGTAATATTGGGCAGCCCCTTGAAACGATCTCGCGAAATCGGATATGATGGCAGATTTCCTGCCAACTGCGGAAGAACGTAAGCCGCAGTCTCTAATTGTAGCCCGGGTCTTGACGGCGACCGAATAGAGAAATGGCACAATTTAGTAGACTGCGCGGAAATGGTTTGATTAAGGCCGGAAACTTGGGCTTGAATCGTCTTGAAGGGAGGCTTGACGAGGTTGAACAGTCGCTCCGTTATGAACGTCGCTTCGGAGCCTGAGTCTATCAGTGCTCGTGCTTGGACGGTGCACCCCAAATGGCACACGTTGATAAGGGCCGTGCCCAGTAGGACGGCTCCTGACCCGGAAGCGAAACACACCTGCACATTCGACTGATCCTCGGAGCCGTTTGTTGACGTAGGCGGACTTGGAGCGGTAAGCTGCGTAGGCGGACTTGGAGCGGTTGCGAATGGATTGCCGCGGTGCAAGAGGGTGTGGTGTCTGCTGTGGCATGTGGAGCAGGTATGAGCGCTCGTGCAGTCTCGTTGCTGGTGCCCTCGGGCAAAACAGTTTAAACATAACTGCTTCCTCCTTATGTAGTCAGAGCGACCATTTACATCCATTTCTAGGAAACGCGGACATAAGCGAATGGGGTGGTCCTCCCTCGAACAGAGATCGCAGCTCTTTTGGCCCGGAACCACTCGAGTCTCGTATGAAGTGAGCCTCCGAGCAGGGGCAGTAGGAAGTCCCGACCTTGGCGGAAATTGCACGGAGCCACTAGGCCTGACGTCGTCGATGGCCTCCAGAGTGCGATGGCGCTCTGTCAGGAAGTTATCTAATTCCTTCCATGTTGGAATCTCGGCCTTATTATGTACGGATTGCTGCCACATGGAAAGTGTGACTTTAGGGAGCTTTGACGAAATCATAAATACCAGGAGACAGTCCCAAGCCTCAACATTTATGGCGGACATTGCTAGGGCTGTCAGACAACTCTGAATGGTGGCTTGCAGCTCCTTCAGCGCGACCCCGGACTCTTGTGAAATAGCCTGGAGGTTGAAAAGGATTTTCAACTGGCTATTGACCAGTAGCCGCCGGTTCTCAAAGCGGTCTGTGAGGCTTTGCCAAGCGACGGCAAACCCCTCATGGGTAAGGGGAGCCTTGGAAACAATAGCGTGGGCGTCACCACTTGTTTTGGACAACAAGTGGAACAACCGCTCTACCGGGGTGAGCCGCGAGTTTTGAATGTAAATGGCCGTGAACAAGTCTCGGAAGGTGGGCCACCGAAGATAATCACCCGCGAAGACCTCGGTATCCACCGGAGGTAACCGGCAGCCTGTAGACGCGGGCGTGTGAACGTTGACGGAAGCCGGAGTGGTATGGGAAGCAATTCTCTCTCGAAGCTGGGCAATACACCTCGAATAGACGGAGTAGCAGTAGCTGTACTTTGATTCCAGCACTGTCGAGATGGCCGCATTGTCGTCGGACTCAGCTAGCAAATCGGAGCAGCTCTCATAGCTTTTCTCCACCTTCTCCCACAGTGCCCGAATTTGGTCCCGGTGGACTTCGCACATGTATTGGGAGCCCACTTCCGTTTCTCTGGCGGCCGGAGTATTTATGTTGGCCTCAAATTGGCTAACTCGATCTGAAGTGGCGATGAACTTCTTCAGCGCCACGTCGACCGCACTTTGAGCCATTTTTGCAACGGAACGAGTCTGCCTCTGTGAAGGACCGGAGCTCGTGTTGACGGATTCGTCACTCTTCGCCCTTGGAATGGCACTGTACGCCTTAGGCTTTAAAAGAGGCGTCCGCGGAGAAGCGGATCGAGATCTCTCCAAACGGATGGTTGGGATCGGACGTGGCTTTTGGTCGTCTCCCGTGGGCATTCTCAGACACCAATTCGCTGATCAGCGCTTGTCGAATGACTTGCGCAATAGGTGGCTCGTACGAAGCGGTAGCCGGTCACTAATGTGATGAGCCCGGTGAGATCTCGGACGAAATGCGATTGCAAAGCCAAGTGGGAATTATTAGCGCCGATGTCGAGAGGAACGTCGGAAACGGCACAATTCGGATGTGGGAGAAACTTCAGGAAGCCAAAAAACCCAGATGGGCCAAGGTTTGTCGAGATTCTAGGCGGATGTTGCCAGATGCAGAGTAGGAGTAAGGTTAGGAAAAATGCCGGAGCGGAAAATGGAAAAGGACCGGAAAATTCGTGCTCGTTCGGAAAAATAATTGATGACTGTCGATATATGTATATTTCGACCAGTATGGCTCGTACGTAAATATTTAATTCCTAACTATTTTCGAATTTGCGAAATTTAACACAGAGAGAAAATAAATAATTAATTTTTGCCTAATTGTCGGATTTAATTATTTTGGAAACAGACTGGTGGAGTTGAGAATTTCAATTTTTAATCAATGGCGGTTAAGTAACCCGAAGCTGGAACGGTGGAATTGAAACCGCGGCTAGGTCCAGAAAGCCGATTGACAATTAAATTATTTAATTATAATTTTTTTCTCTTTCGATAATTAAATTTTTGACCTTAATTATTGAGTGGCCGGAAAGGGAAATTAAAAAACTTTGGCCCTTTGCTCGGACGGAAAAATACGAATTAAATAAATTTTGTAGTTATAAATATAAAT